AAATCATGAAGAAATTTTTATAAAGCAGTCTAAGTTGTGTTTTCTTTAAAAATAAAACATGCATGATGGAACAAGTATTTCAAAAATTTATATGAAACCACAAAAGACCCCAAATAGCAACCGTGATCTTGAGAAAAAAGGACAAAGTTGGAGGAATCACTCCACCTAATATCAAACTATAATATAAGGCCATAGAAATCAAAACAGCAAGTACTGGCATAAAAACAGACAGAGAGCAATGGAACAGAATACAGACAACCTGAAACTTTGTAGTCAATTAATATTGGACAGAGGAAGCAAGCACATACAATGGGCTAAAGATAGTTTGTTCAATAAATGGTGCTGGGAAAATTGGACACATGTGTGCAAAATAATGAAACCAGACCACCTTGCTACACCACACACAAGAATACATTCAAAATGGATTAAAGACTTAAATGTTAGACCATAAACCATAAAAAGTCCTAGAAGAAAACAGAGGCAGCAAAATCTCAAACATTGCTTGTAGTCATATTTTATTGGATATATCTCCCTAGGCAAGGGAAACAAAAGAAAAAAATAAACAAATCAGATTACATCAAACTAAAAAGTTTTTGCACAGCAAAGGAAAACATCAACAAAATAAAAAGAAAGCCCACAGAATGAGAGAACATATTTGATGATACGTCTGATAAGGGATAATATCCAAAATTTATAAAGTACTTACAAAATCAACACCAAAAAAACAGGCAACTCAACTGAAAACTGTGCAAAGGACCTGGATAGACACTTCTCCAAAGAGGACATACAGATGGCCAACAGACATATGAAAAGACACTCAATGTCACTAATCATCAGAGAAATGAAAATTAAAACCACAATGAGATATAACCTCACACCTGTCAGAATGGCTATCATCAATAAATCAACAAATAACAAGTGCTGGCAAGGATGTGGAGAAAGGGGAATCCTTTTGCACTGTTGGTGGGAATGCAGGTTGGTGTAGTCATTGTGGAAAGCAGTAAGGAGATACCCCAGAAAATTAAAAATGCATCTGCCTTTCAACCCAGCGATCCCACTTCTAGGATTTTATCTGAAGGAAACCAAAATACTAATTTGAAAGAACATAAGCATGCCAATGTTCATTGTAGTGTTATTTACAGTTGCCAAGATATGGAAGCAGCTCAAATGTCTATCAGTAGATGAATGGATAAAACAACTATGAGACATTACACAATGGACTGCTTACTTGGCCATAAAAAAGAAGAAAATTTTACCCTTTACAACAGTATGGATGGACCTGTAGAACATTATGCTAAGTGAAATAAGCCAGCCAGAGGAAGTCAAATACCACATGATTTCACTTACGTGTGGAAGCTAATGAACAAACTGAATTAACAAGCAAAACACAGACTCAAAGATGGAGAGCAGATGACAGCTAGTGGGGGGAGGCAGCTGAGGAGGAGGAGGGATCGAGCAACAGGAAAAAGGACTCATGGACATCGACACCAGTGTGGTGATTGCTGGGGGGAGGAGGTATAAGGGGACTAATTGGTAATGGAAAAATACAATTAAAATACTCTACAATTAAAAAATGATTAAATGTCTAAAAAAAAGTAAAGAACAAATAAATGTACTAGTGTAATTTAGGGTGTTAAATTTCCTTCTTTTTTGTTGACCTAAACTTTCTATAGTGTATGCATATTACTTTTACAGTAAGAAAATATATAACTTATTTTTTATGTTCATCAGACTTAGTGTCTGCTTAGATTTCTAAACACCTTTGGAAAAAAATATTTTATAAAATAAAATTAATTTATGTCTGCATCATTTAAAACTGAGGTGCTTTTGTTCAGAGTTCCTTGACCCCTATTCTGTTGCCCAGTGTTTAGCACTTACGGGCCACAGCAAGCCCAGAGGGTTACAGGGCATAGGGATGAACTGGGGCTGCTGGAATCCTGGCTTGTGAGCAGGCTGTCTCCTTAGGAGATAAAAAAAAAGAATTAACCAATGTAAGACCCATGGGTTATACAGGTGAGCCGAGCCAGATCTCCTGACCATAGCTCCTGTATTTCCATTAGGTCTGAGAAGCAACAATTTTTATTCACATCCTTTTTCCTATTGCTTTAGATTGTATTAACATATGAAGGATAAAGTGGGTCAAATACACAGTGACGGAAGGAGATTGTGGGAAACACACAATACAAGATACAGATGATATATCATAGAATTGTGCTATTGAAACCTATGTAATTTTATTAACCAATGTCACCCCAATAAATTTAATTAAATAAATGTAAAGAATTTGGAAAGAGAAATCATCAGCTCCACCCCTGCCATTCATTTCAGTGCATGTAATATGGTAAAGTAAAGCTCATATGTGTGATTTTCCTCAAGGTAATGTGCCAAGTATGAGAAATAATAATGGTATTTTGCAAATGAAATTTTTAAAAATTGATTTATAAATAATGTCTTAGAATAATGCGAGCTTCAAGAGATTGTTCAGTGCAGTATGTTCAGGATTGAGAACGATGCCTTAGATTTGTCAGCCACTAAATAAATACTTAAAAGTAATGTTTTCTGACCTCTTATAGAACTAGTGCATCACATGGCTTATAATGTGGCACAGCTTTTTATTATGTAACCATGTTTCTGAGCAGTAGACAGTGAAAACCAGGGAGAGACAATGTTTATCTTGTACACCATCATATTTCTGTAGCCTGGAAATACTTATGTGCACTAGACTCAAGTTGAATTCAACTAAAATTGAATGAATTAAAGAAATGCCTGTATTGTGTCTTATTCATCTTTTATCTTCAGTACTTAATCTTATAAGGCACATGGCTTGATTTCCATTTGATCAAGACTTTGCCTGGAACAATGGAGATATATTTACTGCTTTGCTGAACTCAGAGAATGCTGGGGTGCTAGACAATCTCTCAGCTCATCCTAGATGCCCATTGCTGTGGCTTTGGAGAAGCCCTGGATTTGGGATATTGTTGTTCTCATTAAAGTCCAGATGATGACTTTGACTCCCTCCTTCCAAAGAAGGAAGAATGTGTAGAGAATAGAATTAATGCAGTATATTCTGTGGTAGCTCACCAACTGAGCTGTACTATGCAAACCTGTCGATCACCGATTACTTCTGTGAAATAATTTCTGAAAATATGTTTTAAGTTGTTTGGAGAATATCTTTATCTCACAGTGGGAAAAGATTAGGTCAACTGATTGATGTTGGAGAAACTTGAGTTTGGGAAAGAGTGAGGTTGGTGCTCATTTTATGTTAATGTTATATTTTTTTCTTGTGAAATGCTATAGAAAACCTTCCTCCTCTTAGATTAGTAGGACAGCAGTTGGCATAGTTTAGAGAAATTCACTAAGCTGAGCATCTTTTCTTTCAAATGAATTCTAGTTTGAAGTAACAGATCCTGTTCTTTCTCCCAGGGTCCACAAAATTCTGCCCCCGCTCTCAACAACAGAAACAAAGTGAGACAAACTTGAATTCACATTCTTGCTATGTCATGTGGTAATTATTTAATTGAGGCAAGTTACTTAATGCCCTAAGCCTTAGTTCCTTATTTGTAAAATGCAGAGAGGGGTATGAGTGTGTACCTTGCAGGATACTAATGGGGATTGATTGTATAGATACACGTGTAATGTGTAATGAGGATTACCTCCCCAGTCTCTAATCCTCATTATGCATTGCTTAGCACAGGGCTATAATAGGTACTCCATGTGTGGTAGCAGCAATTGATTAATAGCATTCTAACCATTGATGAGACTATAAAGAGAGAAGTTGACTTAACCTCTGTGGTTCAGTTTCCTCATTGTTAAATGGAGGTAAAAATACTTGATTTTACAATTTACTTAATTTTGCCATGTATAATGCTCATTTTTTGCCCAAATTTTTGAGGGAATAATAAGGTTGCACATTATACATGGGTATAATAATCCCATGTACAATGTGCGTAAAAACATGGGTATGCATTACACATGGCAAAATACAGTATTATAAAGATACACAAGAAAAATAGATATACATAATCAGCTTATGAATGGCAATCGTTGTATTGTTGGTTTACTTTTGTACTCCTATTTCTGACCTCAGCCTAGTAATATTTCACTGAGGGAAATGAGTCGAGTCAATCTGGTGACTGAGAGTCCAAGGAGGGTGTAATTCCTTCTTTCCTCCCGAATCAGGACTGTCCAGCTTCTGTCCTGATGAAGCGCTACCCCTTTATCATGTGGAGCCCCACACAGGGGACATGTATCGTCTTCTTTACTGCTCCCCTTAAAGAGTGACAGAGTGACCTTGGTATTATTTTAACAAGAACCTGGAACTGAAAGCATTTAAATGAGTGTTTTTCAAGATGGTCAACTGTTGATGCTCCGGATGTATTTTAAGAAACCAGCAACCCTTCATAGCAATGTACTATGTTTATATATTTCACAGGCACTCAGTAAATTCTTACTGAACTAAATTACAATCAATTTTATATGGCATGTATTTTAATTAAGCAATGTATTTTTAATATTAATTTACAGGCTAATATACTTATTGCATATTAATTCTTAAGAGTCAAGCATTAGTGGGCCATTTTAAGAACTATGCACACTCTGGTAAATAATTTGAAAGCTACAATGTCTGCCCTTAAAAGTTTTAAAATGTTTTAACTGTGTATTTCTCTGATGATCTTTGTGAAAGACACATGGTTATTGTCAAATCAATGAGTCAGACAATGGGCACAGTGAAACACATAAGACACTGTTCAGAGCGCTCACTGTTGCTGTTGAAAATGATCTATGATTGTGAATAATTGCTTTTGAAATATTGATCAAAATTGATCTGTCCAATTTTCTGGCACTGGCTCTGTACATCAAATCTCACCCTGGAATTACATAAATCAATTTAGTCTGGACTTCTGTAAAAACTGGGGGGGAGAAAGACAGAAGTAATTTCTGAGTTGTCAGTGACTGATGGATGTTCTGATTTCACAGTTTTAGTAAAGAGAAGGTCTTACCGTAGCTGTCATAGGCATCCTCACTTACTCCATGACCGTAGTCATAGTATTCAGGCACACTGCAACAGATTTAGACAGCAGTCAATGTTACTGGAATCAGGATCAACCCAGAAACTCATATGGAATTTGAAAGCAAAATGTGTGCTAAAGTAGTGTCCCAAAAACCTTTAGGCATAAAACACAATCCTAAAGAAACAGGAGGAAAAATATAGGTTATTGACAATGAGTGCTATAATTTTCTCATGCCACATCAGTACTTTTTTATCTCTATCCTTCAATTCACAAATCAAATTTCCCCTAAAATACAAGTATAGTCTTTAAAGTTTGTCAAGAGGAGAGTTATAAAAGGTCTATTTTCAAGAAAAGGTGCTATACAAGATGACAATCTAGTCAATAGTGTATGGCTCTTAATACTGTTATCCTAAAAAAAGTGCATCAATTTCATCTTCACTTACAAAGACTGAAATAATATTTATACTTTTCCTTATCCCTTCCATTGCATATTCATGCAGTTCTCAAGTATATACACTATGTCTTTTTACTTAATATTTTGCTAAATGCTCCTACATTTTAGTAACTGAGAAAAAGGTGTTTTTCCTCCATTTTTCACTTGTTACTTAATATCTTCTCCCACCACAATTATCATCACCTACAGTCCCCACCATTAGGACACCATTCCTATTAGCATCTAAGAATTTTACGTATGGGCCATCCTCAAAAAGTCCTCCCTCACCCTAAGATCTCCACCTAGTGATTGTCTTTTTCTCTGCTCCTTTACAGAAAAATTGCTTAAAAAGAATTAACTCTGTTCACTCTCTTCCACTGCCTCTCCTTTTATATGCTTTTGAAGACATTCCAGTCAAGCTGTTTTCTCCCCAGAACTAGCTCTTGTCAATATCTTGAAATTTTCAAATCCGATAGTAAAGGCTTGGTCCTCATTTTACCTTAGCAGCATTTAACACAGATCATTTTTTACTCCTTCAAATACATCAGTTGCTTCAGAGATGTCTTTGCTCTTAGATTTCCTAGGCTCACGTCATTTCCTCACTCTTCTCTACTGGTACCTCTTTCTTTTTCCAGCCGCCTAATCCTGATGACTACTAGGGTTCAATTATTAGAATTTTTTCTCTTGACACTCCCTAGGCAATCTTATCTGTTCCTATGGCTTTAATACCACCTCTACTCTGATGGTCTCCAGGTTACATGACCAGCCTTGGCACCGCCCCTCTATGCTGGTCTTATGTATATAGTTTCCTTCTGAACATTTCCATTTGGATGTCAAACTTAACATATCCAAATATAAAACAATTTTTATTTCCTCTCTAATTCAGACTTGTTCCTTTTGAATGCTTCCCATCTTTATAAATGACGGCACCTTAATTAGTGTTATTCTTGCTGAAAACTCTGGAGTTGTCTCCTTTTCTCTCACATCTAATGTTTAATCTGACAGCAAATTCTTTCACTTCTACTTCCAAAATACATCCAGAATTTAAACATTTCTAAACATCTCCACAGCTTATGATTATGGTTAATTTAACCATCTCTCATTTAAAAAAAATACAATATCCTTCAAACTGGTCTCTATGCCCTGATTCCATGGGTTTAATTTTCCTCATAGAAGTCAAAATAATTCTTATAAAAGGAAGTTAGATTATATTAGTTCTCTATTCAAAATCCATCAATAGCTTCCCAAATCCTTTAGAAAAAATTTTTTAAAAAATTTATTTTGCCTACACACACTGACCCCCTAGAATTTCTCAGACCTCTCTCACTTTCCCCTTTGCTCACTATGCTCAGGGCACTTTGACCTCTTAGTTGCTTCCTAAACATGACAGACATGTTACTGTCTCAGCACCTTTTCACTTGGTATTCCCACTATCTGGAACACACTCTTCCTAAATATTTAGCTATCTCTTCACTCGTTCTTTCCGAACTCATTCAAAAGTCATTTATGAGAGATTTCTCTCACTACTTTATTTAAACTAGCATTCATTCATCTTTACCACACTTTGTGAATCTTAATATTTATCAATCACTTCTGTAGATATGATATAAGCAAACAAACACATTTGTTTATTCCCTTATTTGGATGTTTCCCACTTCTAGAATGTAAAATCTCCCTGGTATAGGACTTGATCTGTCATTAGTTCATTGCTCTCATTCTTCCAGGCTGATTTGTCTAGAACAATGTATGGCACATAATGGATGCCCACTAAATATTTATGGAATAAAAGACTGTATTGCTCATAAGAAAATTAGACACCATTTACATAAGTAGCCTAAAATAATGAAGATATACTTTTAAAAATACTATAAAAATGTGGAAATATTTTGTTTGAGCTTAGTATTTATGTAGTGAAAGTTCAAGCTTGTGGATATAGGAGAAATAGAAATGTAAAAACACAAGGGAAAGAGCAATTATGAAGAGAAATATTCATTCTACAGGATATGCTTATCAATTCATACATTCCATAAATATTCATTGAGTATGTATTATATGCTTGAAGTTCTTCCCAATGCTGATGGTACAACAACAGAAAAGAAAGACATCTTCTTCGAAGACTAAGACAAGACTCTTTGAGATGTGGCCGCTGTGTCCTTCTCAAAGTACAAGGTTGAACCATTCTCACATGTACAAACTGCCTGGCCACTCTAGAGGACTATTAGGATAAATTATTTGTGAACATAAATCATAATTATTTCATTAGATACTACATTTAGGCTTTGCAGTTTGAACTCCTAAATGTCCCACCGTGCACATCTTTGCAGAGATTAAAAACAAACAAAAAAAGGATAATTCTGGTTCACTTCACTTATCAGTTCAAAAAAGTACTTTGGAAGATTTGGTAGATATTGAGAGCAATATATAAATTAAGTCTCATATTTTGTAGGCTCAAATTCAAATGTGTGAATTATAAAGAAGCATGATTTATTTAATTCTTCTGCTAGTGTTTTGAATAACATCTGCAGTGAAAGAGAGACTCCACTAACATTAAATGCTATTTCCTTATTGATTTAAATCTTCTTTCCTATTCCTTCACCCCTTCTACCTCTTGATTTTGAGAAACAAACTTTTTAAAATGGGAAGGGGCCCTAAACAAGAAACTATTGGTTTGGCCAAAATTTTTTTTTCTTTCTTTTTTTTTTGTAAGATGGTTCTAGTAATGCTTAGTTGTCTTTACCTTCATTTGAAACAATTTTGTTAGATTGTATTGTGACAGCTGTCATATATGCATGCATTAAAAAAAACTTGTCAAAATTGGTGAACTTTTGTATAACCATTTTAATATTCAAAATGGAAGAAAATACAAATATTAATGCTGTATTATTTCAAGAAAAGGAGAGTCAGAGGGAAGGAGAGTTGGGGACTAGGTAAAAAAGGTGAAGGGATTAGGAAAAAACTCATAAACAGACAACAATATGGTCATTACCCCAGGGAAAGGGGTGGCAGAGCTAGAAGAGAGTAAACGGGGGATACATGGTTATGGAAGGAGACTTCGCTTTGGGTGGTGAGCATACAGTACAATGTACAGAAAATGTATTACAGAATTGTACACTTGAAACCTATATAATTTTATTAACCAATGTCACCCCAATAAGTTCAATAAAAATTTTTAAAAAAGAAGTCACATAATATATCATTTATCTAGTCCGTCATGTGTATTCAATCATTCTCAACTTTATCTGCATAATATAAGACAAAAATATGGGAAATAATTTCCTTAAAATTAGTGTGCCCTTGGACTAATTGGGATGAGAAAAATCCGATGAGCTACGAGCACCCTCTATATTTACCTGCTTCTCAGAGAAATCCAGCTATCATCAAGAACAAGGGCCTATCCCAAGCACATAAAATTCTCTACACCTTCTCATTATCTTCTCAATTATTTCCTCCTCCTCTAGAGAGTCTTCTCAGATCCCAGAAAACCCTACAATGTATTCTGACAATGCTGAGTTCTGTCCAGAAAGTATCCAGCCACGCACTATGGAAAACAAAGACATTTATTGAAGAAGACACAAGACACAAGAAACATTGTACATAGGGCAATGATGCCTCAGTCCCCTTCTAAGTAAGCACCTTGGGACCTCACACAGTTCTTCCAATAGCCATCGGCTGCCCCATCACATTTTCCTGAATCTCCTTAATGGTCTGAAATATTTTCCTTTTCAAAGATGATTTTAGTTTTTGGAAAAGCCATAAGTCACAGGGTGCCAAATCTGACCTGGGTGATATGATGTTTCACCAAAAGCTCTGAACAAGATGTGATGCATGAACAGGTCATTGTCGTGACGAAGCTGTCAATCACCAGTTGCCCAGAGCTGTGGCCTTTTGAATCATCTGAATAGTTACTGCAGAGGGATGTTCAAGCTTCACGCAAAATTTGATGCAGATTCATTGTGCTACTTGCTCAGTCATTTTGAATGCGACAGCCACACAGTACACATGCTCATTCAGCTGCATCTACTGCCCCCACTGACTAGTGCAGTGAAGTTCTCATTGTTCACTCATGCTCATTCCAGTTCACTCTCCTTGGCTGCCAGGTTACATCAATGTTGTGTAAATCATTCTCATTATATTAACAATGCCTGGACTTTTTCTGGACAGACCTTGTCTATCTCCCACATACAGCACTGCCTTCGTTACAATTTCACCTTTATATGTGCTATTTTTTACTTGTCTGTCTTCCTAATTAAAATATGATTTCTGTGACATCATGGCTATTTGGATCATCATTTTATTTACAGGCAGTACCTAGAGTCTCATACACAGTAAATGTTTAAAAAATATTAACCAAATAAGTGAACTGAATTCTTCCAAACTGATAAGCTTTGTATTTATATCAATTCTAAACAGCTATCATCTAACCTGAAAGCATCATCCAACAATCCATTGCATTGATTACCACCTATCACTCCTTACTGTTCTCTCCCCTGGGCTCCCCTTTCTATCTTGAGAACCTAATTCCATCTTACTCCACTGAGCCCTAATCATTTAGTTCTATTTCAAACAAGCTCTCCAATTTTCTTTACCAGTTTCCTTATTCTGTCCATAACTTAA